ATGTGTGACCCAAGACAATTCTTCTTCTTCCAATGTGGCCCTGGGAAGCCAAAAGACTGGACACTCCTGCTGTAAGAACTGCCTGAATATAAAAATAAGCAGAGCAGCCGTGGTGGCCTGCTTGCCAGCGCCTGAACTTCACTAAGGCTTTGTGTCACTGAATCCAAGGAACTTTTATTTTTTGTTATTTATTTATTTTTGAGACAGAGTCTCGCTCTGTCACCCAGGCTGGAGTGCAATGGCATGATCTGGGCTCACTGTAACCTCTGCCTCCCGGGTACAAGTGATTCTTCTGCCTCAGTCTCCTGAGTAGCTGGGATTATGGGCACGCACCACCATGCCTGGCTAATTTTTTCTTTTTATTATTATTTTTAGAGACAGGGTCTTGCTATGTTGCCCAGGCTGGAGTGCAGTGGCTATTCACAGGCTTGATCCCACTACTGATCAGCATGGGAGTTTTGACCTGCTCTGTTTCCGACCTGGGCCGGTTCACCCCAGTGGTCCCCCATTCCCGGCAGGTCACCATATTGATGCTGAACTCAAGCAATCCTCCCACCTCAGCCTCCTGAGTACCTGGGACTACAGGCATGCACCACCGTGCTGGGCTAAATTTTTCTATTTTTAATAGAGACAGGGTTTCACCATGTTGGTCAGGCTGGTCTGGAACTCCTGACCTCAAGTGATCCTCCTGCCTCGGCCACCCAAAATGATGGGATTACAGGCATGAGCCATTGCACCTGGCCTGAATCTGGAGAACTTTTAGATAGGAACTTTATGAGATGGCAACTGTACCCATTTTACAGATGAGGAAACTGAGGCTCAGAGAAGTTAGGTGATGTGCCCAAAGTGGAGTCTGTGCCTGTCTATATGGAATACACTCCCAGATTAGAAACTGGAATCTAACCATTGGCTATGTCCCTGTCCTGAGAGAACTCACCCCCAAAACTGCCACACCTCAGCTGCACGTGTGTGTGTGTGTGTGTGTGTTGCCAATGTCCTCTCCCTGTTCCGGCATGCTCCTAGGCCTGCCTCAAGAGACCACAGGAATTCTGATTAATTAATCTCATCACTTTATCGAGGAGGCACTTAAAAAAATTACAGAGCAAGGCTGCCAGCTTGGCTTTGCTGGCAGCCAGCCGCTGGGACCATAAAACAAATTGAAAGGAACCAAAATAAATAAATAATTAGGTCTCGCTCTGCCTGTCACACACGCACACACACACACGCACGCACGTGCAGACTGGCCCCCAAAGGATGAAGAGCCTGGCTGGGACCTGCCATTAGCACTTGGTCTTCTTGTCCTGGGACAGCACCAGTACCAGCTCCACACACATACGTCATGACCCTCTTGCTCTGAGCAGCACCAGTGGCCTGTCCTTCCCCAAAAGGTGACAGGTTAGCTGAGGAGCTGATAGCAAGACATGGGAAACTTAAAGAGCATGGTGCGGGTCTGCTGTTGCAGGCAGCATGAGCTGTGAAGCCCATGGCGGGCCCTGTGAACTCCTTGCAGTGGCTCAGAGCAGGCTGGAGCTGACAGGCTGGGTCCCAGTCCTTGCTGTCCCATACCCTGGATTCTTTTTTTTTTTTTTTTTTTTTTTTTGAGATGGTGTCTTGCTCTGTCGCCCAGGCTGGAGTGCAGTGGTACGATCTCTGATCACTACAACCTCTGCCTCCTGGGTTCAAGCAATCCTTCTGCCTCAGCCTCCGAGCAGCTGGAACAACAAGTGTACACACCACACTCGGCTAAGTTTTGTATTTTTAGTAGAGACAGAGTTTCACCGTGTTGGCCAGGCTGGTCTTGAACTCCTGACCTCAGGTAATGGATGAGGTCTTTGGAAGAGCAGCCAGATCTTCCAAAGTGCTGGGATTATAGGCGTGAGCCACTGTGCCCTGCCCCTCTGCTCATCTCATCTGGAAGATAGAGAAGAATCTGTTTACCTCCAGGGTTGCTGGGAACAAGAAAGCCTCAGGATCTGTAAAGCAGAACTGTGGCTGTTCCCAAACAAACACTCCTGGTGTATGCGCATTGAGTGGCTGGGTGGGGAAAGGGCCCAATCCTCCAGTGCCTTCTAAGCCAAGATAAAGGCTTGGATGAATTAGTTTTTTTTTTTTTTTTTTTTTTGTTTTTTTTTGTTTTTTTTTTGAGACAGAGTTTCGCTCTTGTTACCCAGGCTGGAGTGCAATGGCGCGATCTCGGCTCACCGCAACCTCCGCCTCCTGGGTTCAAGCAATTCTCCTGCCTCAGCCTCCTGAGTAGCTGGGATTACAGGCACGTGCCACCATGCCCAGCTAATTTTTTGTATTTTTAGTAGAGACGGGGTTTCACCATGTTGACCAGGATGGTCTCGATCTATCGACCTCGTGATCCACCCGCCTCAGCCTCCCAAAGTGCTGGGATTACAGGCTTGAGCCACCGCGCCCGGCTAATGAATTAGTTTTTATATGTGTTTTCCTCCCTTCTGTTTGTCTTGTGAATTTTACTGGGCTTATATGAATATTAAAATTATTTCCCAAGAAGCCATCCAAGCCAGAATGCTCTAAGACATGGTTAGAGCTAGATAAAAGTGGGGAGAGGTACACAGAATCTTCATCCTTTCCCCTCCCTTCCTCCAGCACAGAGCACGACCTCCAGCCCCTCCCTGCTAGAAATGGGATGGGGAGAAAGGTGGTGCCAGCTGGACTTGGGTGGGTGGGTGGGGAGAGGGAGGGAGGGAGGATGGATAGCCAGTCCTTACCTGTGGATTTCTGAGGTGCTCTGGAAATCAGTTTTCCTCACCAGTATAAAGGCACGAGATTACCCATGGAGCCATTGGGAGTACTCAATACAGTTAGGCACTTTGAGTAATTTTGCGACTTCAAAGCACTTTGTTAATGGTAGAACGTGGTTCGTGCTTGTTTCCGGAAAATCCAATAGAAAAAAGTTGCCATCCATATCCCATGTGGGGAGGTGGTGGCACAGGGAAGCCCAAGGCCACCTTCCTTCCCTACTGCCCACCAGGTGACCTCAGCTGCTGGGTCAGCAACAGGCTCCTGTCCTTGGGGGCAGCACTTCCCATTTATCCATGCCCCTTGTGAGATGCAGGGTGGGACAGGAGCTCCATGTGGCCTTGGGTAACCTGCTTCAGCTCCCAGAGCCTCAGTTTATTGGTCTGTGAAATGGGACACTGATATGCCTTCAGAGGCTGTTGTGAGGACTGAGGGAGCTGGTGCCGGTTATGCACACAGTAGGTGCACAATAAATCTTAGCTGCTATTCCTCTGAAGTGGGTAGGGTTGGGTGTGCAGGATGCAGATAGGCAGGCCTCCAGCTCCTCCCTGCTCCCTCAAGGAGTGGGAATGAGTAGGGTTCTAGTTCAGAGATTCTGTTCTGTGAAATCCCGGGCTCAGGCTGACCTCGGTGACTTTGGGACAGGAGCTGAAGAGACACAATAGCAAAACTGCACTGTGGTGTGCTGTTCTTCATTTGTACCTTCCGGTCGCGTTTCTTTACCTCTCCCATCGGCCCTCCCCGATTGCTTTTCCCTCCATCACCAGGCACATTGTAGGTGCTCAAAGCTTATTTGTTAATAAGAGTCAACAGGTCAGAGTGCCCAGGGCCGACGCCTGTATTAGGAAGGCAGCCACAGCCTCTCCTGACCAGACTGTCAACCCTCCCAGGAAGAACCTGGAAGGTCAGTTCAGCCTAAATAAGACCTCTGTGTTCACACTGCATAGAAACACCTGGAAAACTCAGATTTCTCATCCGTAAAATGGGAGGAGGAGTAGTATCTACTTTCATGGAATTGCTGTTGGGAAGGACTCCATAGATCAATCACTAACTGCCTTCTACCTGTCCGTCTCTGTGTGGCGGGGGCTGGGCTAAGTGCTACTTGGCACTGGGGAGCAGCCCAGTGGGGTCTTGGCTTTGTGGGGCCTACAGCTTAAAGGATCAGAGGTTGGATTTATGGTAGCCATTTTTTTTTTTTTTTTTTTTTTTTTTTTTAAATGGAGTCCCACTCTGTTACCCAGGCTGGAGTATGGTGGAGCAATCTTGGCTCACTGCAACCTCCACCTCCCAGGTTCAAGCAATTCTCCTGTCTCAGCCTCCTGAGTAGCTGGGATTACAGGCGCATGCCACCACACCTGGCTAATGTTTTTGTATTTGTAGTAGATACAGGGTTTCACCATATTGGTCAGGCTGGTCTCAAACTCCTGACCTCAGGTTATCTACCTGTGTCAGCCTCCCAAAGTGCTGGAATAACAGGCGTGAACCACCACGTCCAGCCTGTTAGCCATTCTTATAACCCATGGAAGGAGTGGCCTGAACACTTCACCCCAGATTCCCTCTGCTGAATGAACTGTGCTTATAAAATGACCCCCTCACGTTGAATAGTGTTTAAAGCAGTTGTCCATAGGTGGTCTTGATTTAGTAGATTATCCCACTGTTTTGAAGATGAGGAAATTTCACCTTGCTAAAAGGAAAATATATCCTCAAGGTCAGCAAAGCTGGGTGGTCTGGACCTCTCCAGTGGGATGCGGAACCTGAGCCTAGTCCTGGTGGACACAGAGTTTCCAAGAGGCTCTTCCCGCACACGGGGAGTCCCAGGCTGGAGGCTGGAAGAGCCGGTGATGCTGGCAGTGGTGGTGCTCTGCACCGATGCTCCGGTCAGCACAGGGGGCGTTCTCCTGGAGTAAAATGCCAGCTCAGTGAGTTTCAGTGTCCCCGTCCAGGGTGGCTTCGACACTGTGGGTGGTCCCATCCTCTGGAAAGTGTTTCCCCAAGTAGCTGCCTGATCCACCCAGACCTGCGACCTGGAGTCTCCACATGGAAGAGAATTAGAAACGTTCCAACAAGCACTTCACGGCACCTGCTTTGAGAATGCTGCCGGGTGGGAGCCTCAGGGTGGGGCGAGTGGCAGCTCTGGCTTTGAATGAATTAAAATCTCCATCCATCCAGCCCTTCGAGGGCAGGTGGGGGCCCTGGGCGGCCAGCACCGAGAAACCCTGTCTGTCTGGTTGCAGGGAACATCGAGTACAGCTGCCCGGCCACGAACGAGTGCGAGATCACCAAACGGAGGCGCAAGTCCTGCCAGGCCTGCCGCTTCATGAAATGCCTCAAAGTGGGGATGCTGAAGGAAGGTAAGAGGCCCCACCAAGGCGGGCTTTGCCGGGAGGCTTTGCTTGCTGGGGAGTTTTCATCCCCTGCGAGATAATCACAAGCTGTGGACCTGTGTCCCAGTCGGCACCTGTCTCCTCCCACAACCTGCCAGCCCACTTCCAGCCACGGCGCCCACGTGGCTCTCCTCCTTTAGGGAGGTGGGAATTGGAATTTCTCCATTAAGGATCCTTCAGAACCCCTGACTCCACCTGGGCCCCAGACAGTTGGCCTGGCACTCTGGGAAGGCCCTCCTGTGGGGGCAAACCCCCTCTCCACCCAAGGAGGGTGTTATAACCCTAGCACCCTTGAGGGCTTGGGTGTGAAACGGACAGACACATTAAGGCCAGGAATGATAAATAATGTTCCCTTCACCTGTGGAGAACGGCATTTGTTTTCTGGTGGTGGACAGGACATGGCTCTCGCCTTGGGACCGCTGCTCCCTTCCTTGTCCCCTCTCTTCCTATCCTCTCCCTTGCCTCTCCTTTATCTCCCTGTGTCCTCTGTCTCTAGAGCTGTGCTGTCTGATATGACAGCCACAAGCCACACGTGACTCCCGAACACTGGTCCAAACTGAGAGGTGTGCTGAGTGTAAAACACACGCCCGCTCTAGAGACTTAATAGGACCATAAAAAGCAGTGCAAAGTCTGGCGGTGATCATTTTAAAAACTTGATTGTGGCTGGATGTGGTGCCTCACGCCTGTAATCCCAGCACTTTGGGAGGTCGAGGCGGGTGGATCATCTGAGGTCAGAAGTTCGAGATCAGCCTGACCAACATGGAGAAACCCCGTCTCTATTAAAAGTTCAAAATTAGCTGGGCATGGTGACACATGCCTGTAATCCCAGCTACTCAGGAGGCTGAGGCAGGAGAATCACTTGAACTGGGGAGGCAGAGGTTGCTGTGAGCTGAGATTGCGCCATTGCACTCCAGCCTCGGCAATGAGCGAAACTCCATCTCAAAAAACAAAAAACAAAAAACAAAAAACTTGACTGCATGCAGAAAGGCTAATCTTCTGGACATGTTGAATGAAATAAAACATATTGTGAAATTAGCATCACTTGCTTCTTTTTATCTTGTTTAATGCGGCTACTAGAAAATTTGAAATGACACATGGCTCTCATTATTGGGACAGCTGCTCCAGGTCTCTTCCTCTTCCTTACCTTCTCTATTGATTTACTCCATTTTTTAATATTAAAATATTATCAATAGAGACAAAGTCTTGCTATATTGCTCAGCTTGGTCTCAAACTCCTAGGTTCAGACAGTCCCGCACCTCAGCCTCCTAAAGTGCTGGGATTACAGGCGCATACCACCAAAACTCAGCTAATTTTTTGTATTTTTAATAGAGATGGGGTTTCACTATGTTGGCCAGACTGGTCTTGAACTCCTAGCCTCGTGATCTACCTGCCTTGGCCTCCGAACATGCTGGGATTACAGGCATGAGCCACCTCGCCCAGCCTGACCTATTGTTCTGACATCCAGAGAGGAAGCTGGATGTGAGAACAGCAGGTCAAGCAGGGGGCCAGGGGCCACTTGGTTGCAGCATGCAGCCTCCTCCCTGCCTCCTTGACAGCATTCGGGGCACTTAGAGCGGCCAGAAGCCTTATTGTTTTCTATATAGCCTGGAATTTCACAGGTGACAAAATGTGGCCATGCAGGAGTTGGGGTGAGATGACGCCCACCCTCAGTCACACATCGATTCGAGGGAAGCTGGGCCCGGAGGCTGGAACCTCCCTTGCCGTGTTCAGTGTCTGCTGCCCATGGCACAGGGCAGGGATGGGAGAGGGTGAGAGGGGACCCCTGCTCAATTCCTGGACCATCTTGTAAACACTGAGCAGAGTCTCTTGATGGCCTATGCAGTGCTTGGAAAACAGGAGGGCACTTTCTAGTGGCTTCCCAGAAAGCAGGGCATGCTGAGGAGGTGCACTGATGGCAGGGAAGGACGTGGCCGGGCCCGCAGTCGACTTGTGGCTGCTCAGATATCCAGACTTGCACTTGTCAAAGAACTGAGGTAGAGGCTGTGTGCCCCAGGATGATGGTATGGGGGTGCTGGGAGGACAGGGGCATGAGATCCCCACTGCCTCAAGTGGGGACGTCATGCATGGAGGGCCCTGGTGTTGACACTGCCCCCTCCCCCACTGCAAATAGCCCTTTGGTTGATGGCCTTTACCTAGGGTGGCAGCTGGGGCCTCCCAGACAGACATGCTGAGCCTGAAAGGGCCCTTTAAGGAGCTCCGCCTGAAGGGGGAAGGGACAGCCGCTGGAATGCTTCCTCCCCTCCTCCCCACCAGTGCTGGCAGGTCCGGATCCAAGACGGGGGAGACGACACAAAGGCTCCCAAGTGTGGACAAAGCAGAGAGCCTTGGTTCGTTTCTGTCCCCCGCAGGGCCTTGGCGAGATCCTGGGATCTGAAGCTCCCGGGGGACCCACCCCCTCAGGAGGAGCACTCCTCCTTCAACAGCCTGGGCTCCTGCCAGGCAGGGGGGCTCTTGGCGGCTGTCCAGCTCGGCTTTTGTTTGGGTGTCCCTCCTGGCTCTGCAGGCAAGGCCCCCCCACCCAGAACAGCGTGGGCTCCTCGCCCACAGACTCTGATGGGACTCTAAAAGGCAAACTTCACCTTCCCCAGGCTGCTCCTCCGTTGTAGGGTCCCTCTGTGGGCCTCTGTTGCTGGGGGAGGGGTGGCAGGGGGCCAGGGGCTTGTGGGGAGCTGAGGAGGGAGAGATGTGGGTGCCTTCACCCTCTCCACTCCCCTCGCCTGTACATCTGAACACCACCTTCCCCTTCTGTCCAGACACACTCTCCTTGTGTTTTATGATTTTTCCTTAGGTAAAATAATCAGAGATTGTTTCCCAATTTGGGGGCCCAGCAACAGCCACAGAAGAGATCAGACTTGGGGCTTCCTCTGGCTCTCCCTCTCTCTTCAGGCTGCAGCCAGCTCAGGGATCTAAGCTTTTTAGATTCCTCACATGGTTGGGGACAGATCCCATGGCCACCTCCCTGTGCCTTTCTCCCGGGGACATCCAGAGCCGACCATAAAAAGCAGGAGATGTCCAAAGGCTTATCTCGCTTTAAGCAAACCCAGTATATAAAAATCTGTATTTTCAGAGAAAAAAGTAATTTTTCTCTTTTAAAAAATGAATACAAAATCTGGATTAGGAGTTGGTGGCCTGTGTTCTGCCCCTGGTTGTTAGGTATTTTTTGCTGTGTAATTTTATTCCTCATACCTGCATGCTTCCATTTCTTCACTGTAAAGTGGGGATGTGGATACCTGCTCTCCGTCACCAGGTAAAAGTGGGGATCTGGGACAGATGGGATAGCTCCTCTTGGCAGAATCCACTGTGGCATTGCTTTGCAATGACAGCCCCCTGGGTGCATTAAAATACTCTAGTGTTTGATTCAGGTTGGGCACAGTGGCCCATGCCTGTAATCTCAGCACTTGGGGAGGCCAAGGTGGGCAGATCACCTGAGGTCAGGAGTTCAAGACCAGCCTGGCCAACATGGCAAAACCCCATCTCTACTAAAAATACAAAAATTAGCTGGGTGTGGTGGCTCACGCACGTAATCCCAGCTACTCGGGAGACCGAGGCAGGAGCATTACTTGAACCCGGGAAGCAGAGGTTGCATTGAGCTGAGATTACACCATTGCCCTCCAGCCTTGGCAACAAAGCAAGACTGTCTCAAAAAAAAAAAAAAAAAAAAAAAAAAAAAAAAAATTATGTTGTTTGATTCAAAGACACCCTCATTTATACTCAGCTTTTCATCAGTCTTCCCCTTGTGTTTGGAGAGGCAGACTAGTGTCTGGCCACCCTGATTTTCTTCCTGGATTTGTTGGTGGGAATCTTAAAAGGCAGCCTTGTCTTGGGCTGGTCTCCACTGTGGGTTCTAGAATTAGGATGGGCGGTTCCTCCGGTGGTCTGCCTTTGCAGCCTGCCTAGGGCGTGAACTGACTCTGCCGTTAATCCAGAAGAGCTCTGGAAAACCACTCGCTGCATTTGCTAGGGTGCTCCCCAAGTCCTCAGTACACCTCTGGGGTTTCAGCAATTCTCTCTAGACAGCCTGTCCCTCCCAACTTCACCTCCTCCTCACCTCACCTCACTCACTCGTGCCACCAGCCTCCCAAGCCCGCTCCATTTCTCCTCTGCTCAGCCCCTGCCTGCCTTTCCCCAAGTGCTTTCTGAAAGATATTTGATTTCAGTGAGAGCTGGGCTGACATCCACGCAATATGCTCTCACTTGCTTTGTGCTTGTTGGGAAGGTGGAGGGCTCCTCCAGGGATTCTGGGTAATTGCGTTAGTGGCCAGCTCATGTCAGGAAATTAAAAGGAGACCCTGATCACGTTCCCACTGCATGGGATGTAATGGCCCTGTATTTATAGAGTATTTTGCCTCTAGCCCATGCCAGAAATACCACCTTTCTGGCTCTGTGAATGAAGAAAGAGAATGAGAGATGATTTGCCTTTAAACATTCTTTTTCTTTTCCAAAATATATTAGTGTTGTGAAACAAACCAACTCTCTACCACTTTACTTAGTTATTTATTTATTTTCCCTGAGACAGAGTCTTGCTCTGTCACTCAGGTGAGAGTGCAGAGGTGTGGGCTCAGCTCACTGCAATTTCTGCCTCCCAGTTTCAAGCAATTCTCCTGCCTTAGCCTCCTGAGTAGCTGGGATTACAAGCATGTACCACTACGCCCAGCTAATTTTTTTTTTTTTTTTTTTTTTTTTTTTTTTTTGTATTTTTGGTGGAGGACTTCATTCCTATAGTGTCTTCTCTGCTTTCAACATCATTGAATTCTCCTTCACGACTGGATCATTTTCATTAGCACACATAATGGGATAAGTATTTCTGTTCTCCCATTATGAAAACAAAATTAAATAGTTTTTAACTTTTTTCCTTTTTTTTTTTTTTTTAATTTGAGATGGTCTCACTCTGTCACCCAGGCTGGAGTGCAGTGGTGTGATCTCAGCTCACTGCAACCTCCACCACC